TATATATATATATATATATATATATACTTTTTTTTTATTAATGTACATATATACATGTACATATCCAAGGACATCAATTTGTTTTTCATTTTTTGTTTCCTCGTGCTTTATATTTTAATTAAACAAAAAAGTTAAATTAAACAAAAACAAAAAAAAAATAAATAAATTTATACACCCCACTACAGCAGCAGCAACAGCAGCAGCAACAGCAGCGGCAACAGCAGCAGCAGCAGCAGCAGCAGCAGCAGTTTCGATGATCGGCAGCAAAGAATGCAGCTAAATAATAAAAAAACCAAAAAAATAAAAAATAAAATAATAAATATAATTATTATTTAATTTATTATTTTATTTTATTTCGTTTTTATCTCCTTTTTCTTCTTTTTCTTTTTTTTTTTTTCAGGTGTATATGCAGCTCCACCGAGCACGGGGTGTATGCATACACAGCAGCAGCAGCAGCATATTGTTTGTATATGTAATTATTTATTTTATTTTTATTTATTTTTTATTTTCTTTTATTTATTTTTTGTTTTTATTTCTTCTTTTATCCACTAAAGCATCGCTGCGGTGTACATACACCCCAGCCTCGTGGCTGCTGCTCCCACCTGCATGCGTTTGTTTTCTTCTTTTTTCTCTTTTCCTTTAATAGTAAAACAAAAAAAATATAAATACTTACAAATAAACAAACAACAAGTGCAGCAGCAGCAGCAACATCAGCAGCAGCAACCGCAACACCACTAGCAGCAACAGCAGCAACAACTGCAGCAGCAACAGCAGCAGCAGCAGCAGCAGCAGCAGCAACAACACGGGTTTCAGCCGAAAGAGGCCAGCTGGTTGAGGACACACAGCAAGAAGCAAACTGTAGCTGGAGGAGAAGTCTGCTGCTGCTGCTGCAGCAGCAGGAGCTGCTGCAGCAGCAGCAGCAGCAGCAGCAGCCAGCAGCAGCAGCAGCAGCAGCAGCAAAACGAATATCGCAGCAGCATATTCTGTTTTCGTTTTACAATGGTTTGATAGTTATAGATAATGAGGCAGCAGCAGCAGCTACAGCAACAGCAGCTGCAGCAGCAGCTGCAGCAGCAGCAGCAACAGCAGCTGCAACAGCACCTGCAGCA